TACCATGCTACAATGCATGTTGAAGAGATCTTTACTGATAAATAGATTCAGCCAATTACCATGCTACAATGCATGTTGAAGAGATCTTTACTGATAAATAGATTCAGCCAATTACCATGCTACAATGCATGTTGAAGAGATCTTTACTGATAAATAGATTCAGCCAATTACCATGCTACAATGCATGTTGAAGAGATCTTTACTGATAAATAGATTCAGCCAATTACCATGCTACAATGCATGTTGAAGAGATCTTTACTGATAAATAGATTCAGCCAATTACCATGCTACAATGCATGTTGAAGAGATCTTTACTGATAAATAGATTCAACCAATTACCATGCTACAATGCATGTTGAAGAGATCTTTACTGATAAATAGATTCAGCCAATTACCATGCTACAATGCATGTTGAAGAGATCTTTACTGATAAATAGATTCAGCCAATTACCATTTGGATTATAATCTGTACAGTATAATTAAGACAGTTTTCAAATTTTATTATTATTAGGACTGTTCGAATCTGGGACCTGAATGCAACAAAACAAAAGCGGGTGATAAAATTGCGACAAAGTAATGGCAGAAGGACCATACCAACGACTTGTTCCTACAGTAGGGATGGAAAGCTGGTAGCGAGTGGTTGCCAAGATGGTTCACTACAAGTATGGGATATTAAAAGGCACATGGTAATTGAAACAGTGATACTTCTCAAGTGAATTTTCTTCATTAGGCTATGAACAAAATTGTATGCTTCTTATCCCATGAAAATGATAAATGCAGTTTACATTTTTTTTGTATTGAAATTATTCATTACTTCAACAACAAAGTCTGTTAAATTTGAAACAGGAACTCGTTTGAACATTGTTTATATCATTTTGGGACCACAGGATTTTCAAACAAATTTTTATTTTTATTTAATCAGGATAATTATTTTATTGTTACATACATTAATTTCTATTTGATAGTTTGATTTTTCATCAGTGAAATTGTAATTAATTTCTTATTGCCTGAATTAATTATAGATGTGAAAAGTAACATTATGTGAAATGGTATGTTGACCTTTGCCCTCGTACAGTGTTTCACAAAGTACTTCTAATTATGTATGTCATATTAGTCTTGCTCTGTCCAAAATGCATTGTTTTTCACTTTTCTATAACCAAGTATTTTGAATATTTGTTATAGGTGTTCCCAGCATATAAGAATATGACAGCACATACGAATGGTACTGATACATCCTGTGTTTGTTTCTCATACGATAATAGGACACTGGCCTCAAGGGGTGGTATGTACATGTATTATTTGTTTCTTTATTTGTCTTATAAAATATACACACTTCATAGAACATATAAATTATTTATGACACTTTGCTTCAGGGATCTTGTTTATGGATTATCATGATTTTGATTCTGCATAGCAGGGATTTTAGTTGAAGACTTTTGGTGTACTGCTGTATACCATTCTATACATGTCACACTGGCCGGTCTAAAAAGACAAGTCCCTGGGTTTCAATAGAAAATAAACATTTGATAAATAAAAAAATGAATTGTATTTAAATATGTGCGCATAAGTAATGTATGAAATATCGTATTGGCCATGTGTGTTTCAGCGTGTAGATTTGACAATGCTAATGTCACCTCCTTAGTTTCTTCACAATATGTTGTTATTGTTGTTAACAGGAGATGATACTTTGAAGCTGTGGGATTTCAGGAATTTTAAAAAACCTTTGGCAGTCGTGCAAGATCTGACCAATTACTTTCCAATGTAAGCTACATATTATGTATTTAATGTGAAATTAGTAGAAAAAAAACATTCTTATTGTATCATACCGAATATTCAAGTGTTACTACTATGCATACC